GGGTTTAGGGGTTGAGGGGTTTAAGAGGCGGCGCGGCGAACTGTGGTAAATGACCTTGGTGCCGCCGTGGAAGCGGCTCAGATTTATTGAGAGTGCCTTTCTTATTCCTAGGTGACAGGGGGTCTTAGCATATGGCCGGGTGCAGGGATGCTTCATTTCAGAACTCCGTTTGCTATTCTTGGAAGAGCAACTGGCCATTAACATACGAGTAGTTTTCGAGAGCAGGCTCCCTTTTGGCGCGGGACCCGAAAGGGACCCTAATTTAGATCACTACCCAGAGGTCTGAATCTTTAGCACGAATATCTCCTTGCAGTCCTGGTTGCCATAGTACAGCATTGTTAAGGCCGCTATGTTGCTGGGCAGGCCGTCCTAGCGCGACTCACCTTACGAACTGATAAGGGCCTCCAAAAAGAGGGGTACCTTATTCAGGGGTCATATTTATCTTCAGGACCCTACACCCTAAACCCTNNACCTCTAAACCCTAAACCCCAAAATCCCTAAACCCTAAACCCCTAAACCACTAAACCGTGTAACCCTAGATAAGAAGAGGGGCACCTTAGTTTAGGAGTCCTTGTATTCAAGTCCTCGTACTTTGGGGTCTGCCAGGGGTTCCAAAAACTTCTGAAACTGCCATCTGCAAAGGGTTTAGGGTTTAGGATTTAGAGTTAGGGTTGGGTTTAGGGTTTAATTTCCCAAATGAGAATAACAATTCCTATTATAGAAGCCCTACATTCTACTATGATAAGTACTTTGGACCCTTTGGGCTTATAAGCCCTAAACCCTAAACCCTGAACCCTAAAACCCTAAACCCTAAACCCCTAAACCCTAAACCGTGCCACGGGCCGAGGTGCACTCGGAAGGCAGCTGGAAGGTCCTCTACCCCGAAGCTGCCTGCCAGGCATCTCCCGCCGTTGGTCGAACTCGGAGCTTCTAAGATACCCTCGGTTTAGGGTTTTAGGGTTTAGGGTTTAGGGTTTAGGGGTTTAGGGGTTTAGGGTCTAGGGTTATGGTTTAGGGTTTAGCGTTTAGGGTTCAGAATATACCCTGAGGGCCCATGTACCCTAATAGTGGAACATTGGCCCTAAAGTACCTATATAGGGACTACATTAAGGCCAAAGTATATATAGACTTTTTGGGTACATGGACCCTTAGGGATATGGGAGTTTCCGGAAATTCGGATACCTTATTTCTTTGGGGTCCTGATAATAAGGATCCTACTGTTTCGGGTACTATATTAGGGTCCCGAAGAATATATCCTAAATCCTAAACCCTTCACCCTAAACCCTAAGTACTACGGTTGGTTCAGGGTCCCTTTAGGGGGGTTTGTTCAAGGGCTACTATCAAAGGGGTTCCGTAATGGCTACTACTTGTGATGATATACATCCTGCATTACTCTAAGGACCCTAAATTACGGGAATTATGGTATATTCCTCATTATGGGCAATGCAGGGTTTATATCCTCAACCGTAGGGATCCATAAGGTTCCTTATTGAAGGGTTCCTTTAAGGGACCTATGAGGGATCTCTATGGTTGATAGGGTTTAGGGTTTAGGGTTTAGGGTTTAGGGTTTAGGGTTTAGGGTTTAGGGTTCAGGGGGTACCCAGACCTTCCAAAATACTTTAGTTTTGGAGTTATGTGTAAGGCTCTAAATGAGGGTACCCTTTAGGGTCCTTGTTTATAAGGGTGCCGCTTTTTTTTATAAGGGTGCCGTACTATATTTGGGGATCCCCCAAAAGGGACCCTAATCTAGAGAGCTACCCATATACATTAAATTGATTATAGTCGGATCCTTAATATGGGTAGTTGTCAAAGTTATGGTCCCTTTCGGGGTACCATAATAGGTGCCGTATTATAATCAGGACCCAAAAAGCGACCCTAATTTCGACAACCACCCATATGACTCAAGGTCTACTCAAGTCAGTTCCTGAATCAAGTGATCTTGGAAGGTCTGGGAAACTACCCAGAACGGTCTTCAGAGCTCCTATTATTAGAAGCGTTTTATAGGTCCTAAACCTTATAAACCCTAGTTAGAAGCTTTTATGTGACCTAGACCCTAAACCCTAAGCTATATGACCAAAGGCCCACAAAGCGAAGCTACCTTAAGGACCGCACCGTGCCTACTAAGAGCCAACGCAGGAAACCCTAAACCCTAAACCCTAAACCCTAAACCCTAAACCCTAAACCCTAAACCCTAAACCCTAAACCCTAAACCCTAAACCCTAACCAACGCAGGTGGCCACGGACTTCCAAATCCGCTTGCGTGAAGACCCGACCATCATCGGGAACCCAAGAAGCACATAAGCATAAGCATTTTATAGGGGTTTAGGGTTTAGGGTTTAGGGTTTAGGGTTTAGTTAATTTCCGTATTGCTTAGGAACCCAAAAAGGACCATAAGCATAAGCATTTTATAGGGATATCCCTACCTTATTGGGCTTCATTATACGGGGGTTTATATGGGATATCCCTATCCTAATTTTTGCTTATGTGCTTTTTTGGGGGCCCTACATCAGGACGACTGCAAGTTGCGTGAGCCACGACCTCGAGGCAGACCATTTTCATGATCGCTTGTGTTGTTTTCAGGACTATTGTTGGTACTGTAGTCATCATTGGTATCATTCTAATCTGATTGTGTTGTTATTGCTGGTACTGTTGTTATCATTACTATCATTCCGCTTCTGTTAAGTTAACGCGAATACCAGTGACAGTTACTACGAACTTGAGTGATTGGTGAGAGTTGGTGTTCTCGCTAAACCCTAAACCCTAAACCCTAAACCCTAAACCCTAAACCCTAAACCCTAAACCCTTAACCTCTAAACCGCTTCCTGTCGGAAAGGCATCGGGTCTAGGGGCTTAGGGGTTTAGGGGCCTCGGGAGTTAGGGGCTTAGGGATTTAGGGGTTTAGGGGCTTAGGGACTTTGGGATTTGAGCGGCTTAGGGATTTAGGGGTTTAGGGATTTAGGGATTTAGGGATTTAGGGGTTTAGGGGCTTAAGGCTTAGAGTGAGACCCTTCTTTGCGACACCTCTTGGAGGGGTGTTGCCTCACCATACCTCGCTGCGGCTTTGCAGCGTACACTCCAGCCATGCTGTCCTCCGTTGTCCTCACCATCATCATCATCATCATCCCCTCATCCTCATCAGCATCATCATCGTCATCATCATCATCATCATCAGCAGCATCATCAACCTCATCATCTCATCACCTTCAGCATCGTCACAAAGGTCATCAGGCTCGGCCTCGTCTTCATCATTCTCATCGCCAGCGCGAGCATCATCGCGCTGGTAACCAGCTGCGCTTGACCGAATAAGTGTGCTCCTAAGCTTTTGCCCCAAACCCTAAACTTTTAAGTACTATAAGCCCCTAAACCCTCAACCCTGAACTTTTTAAGCCCCTAAACCCCAAAGCCCTAAACCCTCAACCCACCCAGGCTTCTGGATAGTTCTCTAAATCTAGGGTCCCTTGTTGGAACCCTAAACCCTAAACCCTAAACCTAGGATTAGGGGGACCCTTGGGGATATAGACCCTCTCAATAAGGTCCCTTTTCAGAGAGCCAAAAGTCAGGTTCAAAAAGGGTTTAGGGTTTAGGGTTTAGGGTTTAGGGTTTAGGGGTTTAGGGTTTAGGGTTTAGTACCCCTAATACTACTACCTACTGCCTCTCAATTCCAGATTTCTGCCAAGCCCTAAACCTCAGGCAAACCCCAGCCCTAAACCCTCAACTTAAGGTTTAGGGTTTAGGGTTTAGGGTTTAGGTTTTAGGGTTTAGGGTTTAGGGTTTAGGGTTTAGGGTTTAGGGAGGTTTAGGGCTGGGGAGAAATCTGAAGCTGAGAAGGATCCTAAACCCTAAATTGCCCGCTTGCCCAGGTGAGGGCCTCAGAAATTGACGACTTCTCCACGAGGTGCAAGCAATGGCTGGAGGATGAGCAAGATGCAATTCGAAACGAAGAGGAGGACATGGAGTGATAAGGGTCTGCGGTGAAGGCTTTCAGACTTGCATCCACAGGCTGCTAACTTAGATTTCAAGGCCACCCCGCATGTGGGTAGTTCTCTAAATTAGGGTCCCCTTTTAGGTCCCCAATATGGGAGTTTCAGAAAATAGGGGACCCTAGTATAGTACCCTTAATAGTAGGATCCTTATTATAAGGACCCCCAAAATAAGGTACCCCTAATTTTCGGAAACTCCCATATAGTACCAGGACCCCCCAAGGGCCCTTTAATGGAGCCCCTATCGTTCTTAATTGCGGGTATTTAGGGTACATTAGAGGGTAGTTGGGGGGTCTAGGTACGGCACCCTTAAGGGTTTAGGGTTTAGGGTTTAGGGTTTAGGGTTTAGGGTTTAGGGTTTAGGGTTTAAGGAAAGGGACCCTAATTTAGAGAACTACCCATGTTCCAGCACAGTGCAGGTTGGCCATGTAGGGGCCTAAATTGGGGTTCCTTATTATAGTCAAAGTATACTGGGCCCCACAACACTATAACTACTTATAGTTATAGTATACTGGGCCCCAAAATACTATAACTAATTACAGTTATAGTATACTGGGCCCCAAAACTTATTCTAATTATTAAGGCCCCTGTATTAGGGCGAGCAGTGTTTTTTTTTGTTACCTTCGGCGCTGGCGAGGCGACCAAGGGGCCGTTAGAACCCTCCTCACACTTCAACGCCAGGGTTAGGGTTTAGGGTTTAGGGTTTAGGGTCAATTAAGCTTGCGCCCGCTGCTTCTACCGTCCAGCCTAGACAGCGAGAATTCGCGAATGTGAAGCTTACCTGGAGTCTCCGTTGTAGTTCCTTGTTGGAACCTTAATGTATAATTGGTTAGACCAAAAACAAGAACTACAATAGAGACTATAGGTACTTTTAAACAGGAGGCATGGCGCAGGGCGAGTCTACGGCAACAACAAGTGAGAGCAGACCAACGCCAGGCGTTTGTGTATTGGGCAGTGATCCTCAAACCCTAAACCCTAAACCCTAGACCAACGCCAGGCGTTTGTGTTTTGGGCAGTGATCCTCGGACACTGGGCAGCCTTCGCGGTTCTGCTAAACACAGAGGATCCGACACAAAGCCTCCTGGCTTACAACGAACCCGAATATCGAAGTGTTGGGGAGGCGTTCCAGGTTGCTGCAGTTGCACTTGGCAGTTTCCTGCTGTCTTTCTGCATCTCATGTACGGACCGTCTTGTCCCAGCATGGCGGGTAGAGCTATCTGCTGCCTTTGGTTGTGCAACATTCATATTCGATTCTGGATGTAGTGCCGCTTTTATTCTTTTTCAAGAAGACCTGCTGGCGGTCTGCGCAACTGGAGTCACGGTTGGATGGATCGCGCGTCATCTACAAACCCGGTACTCGGCAGCCTTCTTTGGAATCATCTTTTGCATCTACATAGTGTCAAGATCGATACTTCGTCCAACATTCGCATTCCGACCTTTCTGGGATGTGTTCCGGGATTCTGCAATTGCCCTTGGCATCTCAGTGCTAGTCTTCTTCATCTCGTGGAGCGAGCGCGGCAGCACCCGCACAGGAGTAATGGTAGTGTATTTTCTGTCATTCCTTGTGTTCTTGGTGATCAGTGTGGCCTACTTGGCGGGCGTGGCAGTTCCGCTGTCTTTTGGTTTCAGCGCTTTCACCGGCATCTTCACGCGCTTCCTACTTTTCCCCGGAGCCATCCGTGAAGGGTTGGAAGAAGAGACGAAGCGCAATGCCCTCAGCAAGACCATCACGTTCGAGGGCACCGTGAGTCGAGCCATGCCATGTAATTTTTGCGTGATCTCAGGTCTCGGTAGAAAACAGTCTCGTTTGAATGAGGCCTGGCAAAGCCTGCGTGGTTTCCTGGCCTGGCAAGTATGTCACTGCCTGGGATCACCTGGTCGCCAGCGCCCGGGCTGGCCAGACAAGCGCGGCAGTGGTTTTCTTGCCTCCGGGCACCAAGAGCTACGGGAAGCACAGCCCTATTCCACAGGAAGGGATAGGCCGCTGCTGGTGTCAGCCTCGGTATGGAGAGAGGAAGCCATGGGGTTGCCGCTGGTGGGCCTTGTGGATACAGAACGTGGAAACCGCCGTGAAGCACCGTGCGGAACTCCAGGTGTACTTTTTTGAAGGAGCCTGCGGAAAGGGCAAGGTGGCCAGCTTTGAGACGGCAGGCCAGGAACACCTCCAACGCGAGGAACTGCTCGAAAAGATGTATGACTTCGAAGACTCCGACAGCTTCCGAGATGCTAAGGAGGCGGGCCTCCAGAAGCTCAGCCGCCTGGAGCGCTATGACTCGTCGTCGCAATACAGCCGTGAGAAGTATCGCTTGTTTCTGCAGTGGCTTCCGGATTCTGAGCGGCAGTTGCTGGAGGATTCAGAAGGCTTGGGGAATTCACAGAAAGCTGAGGTGGCGTGGCTTGAGAAGAAAGGCTACAAGTACAGTGCAGTGGACATCTCCCGATGGTTAAAACAGCCAGCGGAAGACCCAGAGAATCGTTGGGCTTGGAAGCCTGAGCCGAACAATCTCGTCGGCCACCCTGTCGTATGCAATGAGCCCCCATCGCCATAGCCCACGCAACATCACATGGGTAGTTCTGTAAATAAGTGTCCCTCGTTAAGTCCCCCGAATAATCTAGTACGGCACTCTTATTGCCCCAAAAGGGACCCAATTAAGAGAACTACCCATAGCAGTGGTTCGGAACACTTCGTAACTGCACTCCTGCCGTTGGCCAAGCCATGGTCTTGGACGCTCAGTTGTTGGAACCGTGTCTGTTCCCGTCTGTCTGAATGCATGCGCCTTCGCCAGCCGATGTATATAGTATTCACGAGATGCATGTCGCAGCAACCCGTCTCATCGACGCCTTGGAGAGTATGCACAGCAGCATTGTGTTGTTTTGCACGGCTCCTGCTGTCGAAGACATCCTAGCAAGGGGCAGCCTAACAACCGCTTGGACAATGATTGGCTATGAATGATAAAGCGCAAGACGATGCAATCACCAATTGTTTCCTTGCTTGCATTCCCGTGGTCTTTTAGCACCACAGTGATTCGCATCATAGCCAGTCGACAGCGAGTTGCGGCTGTGTTTGAACATTCCGCACGGTGGCGAAGCCATGCCGTCGACTCTGATTCATCCCTAAACCCTACCTATAGTCTCCATTGTAGTTCCTTTTTTTGGTTTAACCAACAATTATATATTAAGGATTTTATGAGGTATCCCCAAAAAGGGAACTACAATGGAGACTACAGGTAAACCCCAAGCCCTGACCCCGAAACCTGGCAGTTTCAAGTCGCAGACATGTTGAGTTCGACTTGGCAAAGTGCGAAAAGAGACCAGTTGACACGGTTTAGGGTTTAGGGTTTAGGGTTTAGGGTTTAGGGTTTAGGGGTATAGAAGCCTTCATCAATACGAGTTGCATCTGTCAGGGTTCCTTTGTACCACATAACCCCCACCCAATTTTTATCCCTAGACCCTAAACCCAGGACCCTAAACCCCAAACCCCAAACCCTAAACCCTAAACCCCACTAAGCCTTTGCAGGCGCAACTCTCGCTCTCTCGGTATGTGCTGGTCTGTCATAAAAGTTTCCTGATCCTCTGTCTAACGCCTTAGAACTGCCAGTGGTGCAAAATCGCTGGAAGTATAAGATAAGCCCTACCTATAGTCTCCATTGTAGTCATTTTTTTTGGTTTAACCAATTATATATTAAGGATTTTTATAA